ATATATATATATATATATATATATATATATATATATATATATATATATATATATATATATATATATATATATATAATTACAATTACTGCATATATACGCATATATATGCAGAATTTTACAACTCTGCATATATATGAAGAGCATATATATATATATATATATATATATATATATATATATATATATATATATATACAAAATATATATGTTCTGCTTACTGGCCTTTTTTTTTTACATTTTGCATATTTTATGAACTCACTCTTAGCTGCTGTAGTTTGATATCGTGATCATCTGCTATCTTGAGGAAGCTTTTAAAATTGTCATCGTCTAGCAACACGTAGACTGGCACGCCTCGCATAGAAGCATCCACGATTTCTTTGAAAATATCAACATCTGTAAACTTGTCCATCACAATAGCAATGACCTTCAAAGAGAAAGCAGAATGAATATAGATCATTTTGTCATTCAATTGCAATTACATGTGTGCATGTGCAAAGAAATTAAAACAGGACCTATTAAAACAAATGTACACATGTTCTAACATCAAAGATCAAATGAGGACGTGCAATGTGTATTGCAAATGAAGCTTTATAGTAAAAAGAAAGTGAAAGAAGCATATCACAGAATATTTATCAATACTAAAATCATTGATTATTTCAGTCAGGAGAGATGTCAGAGATTCATTTTTTACAAGTTCTTATTATAAAACTTGTAAAAATTCTATCTTACGTGAAAAGAGTGGTAAAAATGGTGCATACAATTTATTCCTGTGATTAAGGTGAAATTATTGATTAAACAACGTATTTTCTTTTTATTTGCATTTAGTACACACAATTTGACAAAAGAACATATACAATTTGATTTGTTCCATTTAAAAACCTAAAAGCAATTGTCATTTTAACTACAACCCCTAATAGATATTAAGTATTAATAAAAATAAAAAAAACTAAGTGTATGTAAATATTTTGATATGTCTGTCAAACATTTGATTTAGACTGCATGAGAAATAGTCACAGAAAGTTGAGTTTTGAAAGCTCTTCGGTCTGAAACAGAATTTGTTTCTCATGTCCTCTGACTAAGTCTGATGACGGTAACTGAGAATTTGAGAAAGGTTTGGCCTTGCGACTTTGTGGCATTTCTGGAAAATGGTTCTTTGTGTTTCCTTAAGAAACTAAGCTGTAGAACCAGATATTTCCTAATCCAGCCCAGAAGACACTCCTTTACTCTGAAAAGAAGAGCAGCAGTCGTCAGCAGCAATCTGGCTGAATAGAGGGAGGGAGAGCTTGCAACATACTTTGGACAATCACAGAAACAGAAATATTAGGGTTTAAATGGAGAAAATATAAGATTGATGTTGATTGACATTATTTATGCTTTTGGACTAACATTAAGTCAGTGGACAATATGTCCAACTACCGCAGTTTATTCTGATATAACTACTTTGGGGCTTAAATGGAGAATTGCATGTAAAAAATCCTGAATAGGTGGTTTTCTATTGAACAGCATTTTTTCTGACAAAAAACTCTGTTTAATGTGAGTTGTGGATCCAAACCATAGAAAGTCCATACTGTAAAATAACTGCTTTAGAGTGGAAAGGGCCTATTGCCTGATTTTTTTGTTTAGCTTTGCTGCCTCTGTAAGTGTACAGTTGCAGGCTGTTTTAATTACCGTTCTTGCATCCTGAATGTGCTTCCGGATCACCTCCTTTATGGTCGGGTTGTTGAGTCTAGGTGGATGGTAGAGCAGATTGATATTAGTCGGATGTTTTTCATGCTGGACATGTGGCCAACCCAAATCCAGATTTGGCATTTCCACATCTGAGTGAGTGGGCCAGTACGTCCCAGATGACGACTGGTTGTCTGTTGGGTCGACGATTTCTTCCGTCTGGTTTTGGGATGGCAACTGTTCGACATTGGAGGTGAGGAAGACAATTTCATCTTCTGAAAGGAAGCTTGCAATACGTTCTTCTTTTAGGAACTCAAAATAACTTTCTCTGCCGTCTTTAATAAGACGATCGATCGCCAGGCGATATGACTCCTTATAATGAGGCTGGACAAAATCCTCATGTTTAACCTCGCCTCTCAGTGATGACAGCAGGGAAAACTCTGTTGAGTCCATCTCCCCGGACTGTTTGTTTACGACCTGTTGGAGGCGATAGAGACACAAGGTTCTGTCAGAGAGCAAACATCGAAACAAAATAAAAAATGCTGGTGCATTTACGGAAAAAGGCATGCTGGTGTCAATTTCTTAAATTTCCTTCGTTGTACCAGTTTTTAATTGCAGTCTATTCAAGTTGATTATTTGATTTAGCAAGAAAAACAAGAGTTTTAAATACAGATAACTTAAAGTATAACAATGGAACATTGATGTTTACTACTTATATTTTAAAAATAGAGAGAAAAGCAATAGATCTCTGAGCAAATTATCAAAAAAGAATTTATCCTGTCATTCCTAAATACAGCCAAATCACATGGTACTGTTGTGGTATGTCAACTACTGTTGCATCTCTCAACACATAAATAATCCTGGCTTTAACTAGAAAAGCAAAGTGCGGTGAGGAATATTTGAAGTACTTCAACTTTACACGGAAGTGGGATACTTATGGCTGAATGCGATCATCAATCAAGTAATAACTTCGACCACAACTTAACCACAGTTTTGTGGAAAGAGGAAGAATCAGTGGAATATAACTGCTGTGCCCAATTACAAGCTAATTACCATTAGATATGCACATTGCTAATTATGTATTTGTGCATTTTATCTATGTTTGCTCTAAAGCAATGTGTCTAATTGCAGAGGATTCATACACAGCAATATGTGTATGAAAGAATTACTGAGATACAAACAATGAAAAGTACAACTAAGCATATTGTTCATATTATTATTGCATCAAACACTTTGTTTTGAACATATAGCAGCCATCTTGGATTTGAATGATTTTACTTTCCCAGTTGAAGTTCACACCTGTGGGGATTTTTTTTTATTATACAGAACTCATGTATTCTTTAATAGTGAAAAAGTGTATAAATAAACAGAAAAATAAATCCAAATTATTTTCTATCACTTTTTCATTCCCACAAATGTAATTATGAGTTTTTATGTTGAGCCTTATCTCTCTATACATGAATCTGTTTTTTGAAAATATTCATGTTAGGCTGAATTAGTTGGCAAAATAAACAAAGCTGATCAGCAGATTCAGCGTTCATTCAGTCTCACGAGTAATAATCAGACGGATTAGAAGCCATTGGCATTTTCTGACTATTTAGCAGAAAATGTTAAAATTTTCTTAATGAACATTGTTGTTTGACTAATAAAATTTGCACTTTGAAAAACAAAACTGTAGATGTGAAAGGAAGTAACCCAATATTTTAAATTGTCAAAAAAACTGTTGTAGCAGCATTAATAAATTGTATCCACAAACTAAAACACAACCGAGAGAAAGACTCTTTACTCACACATTTTACTCCAAACTCTCACTTTCCAGTAAAATAAATTGCTGTACTTAAAAAAAAAACAAAAAAAAAAAACCTTTCCGTTCTTAAAGAGCCCCAAAGCGCAAAAAAGTAATCATAGGAGTGCTATGTTCAACAATGACTTACATTTTGATAGTGACCTTTGTGGAAATCCCCAAGACTGCTCGTAAAATATCCTACTTCCATTTAGCTTGTGTTCCGTGTTGGGGCGGCTTGTGAGACCCAGCTGGGAGAGACAAAGACAGGAGGCATCTGAACTTGATCAGCAGTCTGAAGTGGGAGGGTGTGGATTCTTGTTTCAACATGCAAATAGTCTGGTTTGAAACTGGCTCCTATGCAGACATAAACCTGTTTGAGACATTAAGCCACTCCCCTTCTTGCCTACAAGAACAAAGTTCACTCTAAGGAAAATCAAGATAATGACGACATGAGGAGGTTTTAGTGAATTGCTTCAGCGTTAGTTCTTGTCAGCTGCTTACACTGTTCTGGGACTCCTGGAGATTAAATCCATCATCCATGACCTAATAATAACTATTTAAGGTAGATTTTAGTTAATTTAGTTAATTTTATCAACTATTTATCTCAGTTGCAACCAATTCCTGGATGAGTACGCTGTCGTTTTCCTTTTTGTTTATTAGTTCTTGTTCACTGGAGTGTGCAGATGAGAGATAAAAATGTCAATTTGTGTATTCTTGTTCAGCATTTTGTGCCTCAACTGTGTCAATACTTGGACAAAGAGTTTCTTTATATGGAGTCTGCATTTTTCATGGGAAGTTGAGGCCTTTTCACTTGATGTGACTTTATGGGAGGCACAGAGCAGAACGGTACTGCAAGTTAGCATTTGTCCACAGAAATAAATATGCATCATTGTAAAAACAATAAATGCTCCAAGTGTTTGTTTTTTTCTAAATATAACTAACATTTTATTTTGTAGATTTTTACCTGTAAAATAAAAATACCATAAAGTTTGAGGTTACACCATATCTAAACTTTAACATTTTCAAAAAGTCAATTTTCATTTACAAGGCACAGTATATTGGGTCAAAGCCAGCCTTGGTTTAACACAAAGTACATTAAATAATGATTAAATAATCTCTGACAATAAATCTAATCAAATGTTAGCATCCGTGGAACCCCTACTTCTTACAAAATTGCTCAAAAGTGCAGCTCACATTGAGCAGACATTAGCATATTTGACATTAAGTCTAAATTGTTTTCTTTAAATTCAATCAAAGATCATGAATAAAGGAATGCAAATCCTTCTAGCAAACAAAGGATAAATGGGACATTAACTAAACAACAAAAGGTCTGTCAGGACTTTATTAACGGAGTTTATTTATTCTGCTACTCAAAAGGCAAGGCATGGCAGATTATTTGTATTGCACTTTTCTGCAGCAAAGAAACTTACATGCTGAAGAAAAAAAAAACAGATGTCACCTTGAAGAAAAAAAAAACAGATGTCACCTTGTAAAATAAATTTGCATTCTGCATGCTTCAAATGAATATCACATGGTTGTTTTTCTCAAAATAGTTAAATTGAGTCTGAATTAGTTTTGTGTATCTTCTGTAAAGGCCTCAACAGTTAAATATGTCCAGATTAGACAAAACATAAAGATTTAGCGGTTTTGGAATTTTTTTTTTTTTTTTTTTTTTTCCCAGCCTAAACAGCCCTGCTCTGCAGATCCTTAATGCCACTGGAATACAAAAAAAGCCTGGTGTGATATCTGGCACCAAAATGTTTGCAGCAGAGTCTTTCAGTGCTGCAAGATGGGAGTTTCGTGGATCAAACTTGTTTTCCTAGAACATGTTGACACCTGATGAATTGGATAAAGATCTGGGAAAGTCGGAGGTCAGATCAGAACTTCCTTTTGAAGTAACCCAAGAACTTTCTGTAGCTTGGTTAAACTTCAAGATAAGGTTTCATTTTCCTTAGCCTAGGTCATAAAATAACAGACACAGAAAAACCCAGAGCAAAAAAAAAAAAAAAAAACAAACACATGACTCAACATGTTGCATTATACCTGTAGAACAGGCTGCTTTGAAAGACAGCTGTTCGCGGAAAATGTTTTAACAACCATGAGGTCAAAAAGCTTTACTCCATCTATATGTTGTCGGCCCTGAAGCTTTTTTTTTTTATCTCGGACAAGCATGCAGGTTTTGCATTTCAAAACTCTCCAGAGGCTTCATATAACATTTGGTTAAATAACACCTCACACATTCTCAACACTCAATAAAATGCCCTGGGAACTTAAAGTACAGGTGGTTTAAGCTCCTATCTGCAGCTTAAGATTCAATTCAACGATTAGTGTGTGAATGTGTGCGTGAATGGGTGAATGAATGTTGACTGGAAACCTTTTGGGTCCTCTGGACTTGGTGAAATGCTATACAAGAGCAGGCCATTTACCATGATGCTCGTTTATAACAACACTGACATTTTTGAAAAAAGCAGAATCCTTTCTTTCTTCGAAAACAAAAATGATTCAGAAAATGTCTTTTAAAAATATTTATATTTATAAGGAGCCACTGCAATTTGGGAGTTGTATAAGATTGCACTTTGTGTGCACAGAAAAATTAAGCAATTCATTGGAATACTTTTATAAGATCCTATTAAAACATCAGAAATGTGTATTAAGTAAAGGAGCTATTATTTTAAAAAGTTGAGAAATGGAGAAACAACAGTCTTTCAAACAGTCTGTTCCTTCTGTGTGCTTCAAGCACAAAAGTCAGGAAGAAAGAGATAACTGCAGTGTGACCAGTTATGCCTGTAATCTTGGGTGTGTGGTGATAAATGCTGTTGCTGGCTATTGTTTCAAGACTGTGTTGAACTTTGGCTTCTTGCTTCTTTGACCTTATGGTTTATGTTATAGCTTGAGTTTATCATGCTTATAGACTGAGTGGGTATGAAAGAAATGTACTGAATCTGTAGGTAAGAATGTACAGGCTAGATGTTTTGTGTTGAAGTCTTTGCTCTCATCTTGTACAACAGACTTTAATGTTGTACAATCATGTTGTACGAGCATATCCGGACTCTTAACAGAGTCCGGATATGCTTATTTTCCCACCACAAAGTTATCAAGAGTTTATTTGTCCTTAAGTTTCCTCCTTATGAGTCACCTCTGGTGACATCCAGTCTCTGCAAAGTCTTCAGTCTGTTCTCAGCTGCCTTTGGCAAGTCTTAGCAAGTCCCACGATCAGTTACCTGCTGCTATGACATTTGGGTAAACATGAATATAATCAAGCTGTAGGAACACAAAGAGTCTGTGTTACTTGTGTGTTTTTGCGTCACCTTTGCTCTGTTTTAGTACTATTTTTTTCGACAGTAAAAACACAAGTCCAAACTTCACAACAGATTCAGGAATGTCATTCTCAGAGGGTTGTTTACAACCCATAAAAAGAGCACCATCAAAGATGACAACAGATGTAAAGCATATGTTTGACAGTAACTCCTTCAATTACTGTGAGATATGCACAGTTTAATCTCTACTTCTCTGCAGAGGTGCAGCTTAAAGAACAGCAACGAAAGCTGCTTAGCCAGTTTTTCATGTGTGGTTGTCACACTTTGCACAGTGGTTTATATGGGCATAGCATGGATTTAAATGTGCAAATGTGTGGAGACCACATCATTATGTAGTCGGTAACCACAGCATCATTTGCAATTCTTAACATGAACAAACAAAGAGAATTAACTAATAAAGATAAGAATTTTATACATACATTTACTGTTTGCTATAGTGTCTCATTACATCTCATTTTCTCTCTCTCTGGGTTCAACAAGTTGAGCATCTAACTAGGATTTAATTACTGGCTAAAAGACACTCTGGCCATGGTTGCTGCACATGGTCCTATTATAAAGCTGAATGGTACACTGACCCTGCACCTCTCAGTAATACCACGAGAATTACAAATCCACATAGCATTGAACAATGGCAGCAGACCGCTAATGCTAGATATTTGTATTCTACTGAGGCTTACATCTATTTGCACCTGAGTCATCTGAATTAAGTCTTTCATAACTAAAAACATAAAAGGCAGCCATCCTACATGTACAGCTTTATTCAGGGTCACAGTTAGAAGACATGGGAAAATTTATTTAAACATAAGACATTTTGAAGATGAGTGAAGAGCTAAATGAGCCACTTGTACCACACTGGTCCCTGATCACGCCACGCTTGGTTCTCGTCAACTTTTACTTCTAAAGTTTTTCTAAAATAAGCTCAAGTTCTGGTTGTTACACATATAAAGAAAAAGTGATGTATGCCCCAGTAATCAGTTGACAGAAATGTACCTAACATCAAAGCTACACTGGATTAGTTTCTATGTTAATCCACAAACTGCAATTTAAACTATGCAAAATTGAAATAATTGACACACAGGATCACCATTTTTGGTCAAGCCTTATTCACACCCACATGATTTTTGTGATTTATCATGCATGGCTTTTCACCATGTCAATCATTTTATTACGTCATCTATTATTTTTTTTAAATGACATCACTGGGAGCTACTTGTGATTTTTCACAGGTAATTTGGGATTACTAATTGCCAAATTAGTAATTTGGGAATTAGTTGGAAATAAGTCACATCCCATTAGGAATTTAGGATGTGACATCTTTCCAACAAAAACAGTGATTAAGATGGCTCATTGCTTGTGAATTGCCTGTGTTTCATTAAAGTACATACAGTATGCGTCTCGCAAAGAATGGAAAGCTGAGCTCATCTGACTCATTGAAACATCTAGCCCTCACAGGCGTTTCAACTGAAAAGTTATTTTAATGAATCACAGAAATAATAACGATAATAAGCAAAAAATAAGAAAAAAAAAATAAAAAAAATGTGAAATTCCTTTTGTGTTGTGCTGCAAGTTAGGACCACTATGCTCTCAAACAGCATTGCTAACTCATTCTGTCAGACAACACCGATCTCCAGCTGAGAACTCTTGTTAGAAAGAAGAACATGAAAGCTCAGTTTGACACTCAGCTGGTGGGGCGCACGTCCATTTTTACAAAGCTGTTCTTAAACCACATATCTTTTTACTTGTTTGCATTGTTTTTTGGCATGCTTGTATGTCTTGATCTGATAAACTGTAAAAAAATTAATTGGCATTTAAGATGTAACCTTCCATAAAATAATAAGATTCTCATCTTTTTCAGTAAAGCTAAACATTCAGATGAAACCAAGGATGAAAAACATGCTCTGTAGCCATCATCTGTTGAGAGCCCTCTTCTTCTGTAATCTCTCACCCAGAACACAGTGTATTTTTTCTTTAAGACTCTTACAATGAATCATACAG